TGAATGAAAAATTTCAATAATTTACTATTTAATTAAAAATAAAGGAAAGTTAACCATTTAAAAATTTATCAAAACAATTATTTGATTTAACGGAGATTAAAAAATTAAATAAATGAAAAAAAAAATTGTGTGCAAAATTGATCCCCATTTAATAAAATTTAATAGAAACAAGACAAAATGGTCCTTTCATTTCAAAAGAAAATTTTTAAAATTAAATATTTTTGACTAAACTTTTTGAATGATTTAAAATTGATGGAAACGTGACAAAAAAAGGTAGTATTAGAATATATATATATATATTTTTATTTAAAATAATAAAATTTTAACTTTTTATTACCTACAACTTTTGAATAATTTAAAAAGTAGATGCAGATGTATCAAAATTATAAACGTATGCAACAATAAAATGAATTAAAAAAAAAAAAAAAAAAAACTTCTTTCCTTAAAAAAACAAAGATTAAATTTTTAAATGAAAATAAGAACCAACTTAAAAACATAAAAAATTGCAAACGAATTGTCACATCGTATTATTATGAATAATAATAAACTTTGGGTCATAGATTTCAAACTCTATGTATTAATTAATATTAATGGGATCCACTTTTATTTATTTTATTAATAATAAATGAGATGTGATAGGCGTCAATATTTTATTCCTATTTCTATTTCTTTAAAACGGATCGCATTCATAATTAAATTGGAGTTTATTTTAATTAATTAATCATGGCCTTTGTATTGAATTATTGAATTATTGAATTTCTAAAGTAAAGATAAGAAATATTAAAAATATTAATTATCTAAAAAATTGTGAATATTTGCATATTTTTAGAGAATTCTCTTTTTTAAAATAAGAAAATGAAATGTCAGCTTTAAATAAAAGTGTGTGAAATGACGATAATAGGCTTTTTCATTTTACCAAATGATTCGAAACGCTTTCAATGTTGATTTGATGCCACTGAAAAATCAATCATAGTTTTGGGCTTGGGCTTGGGTTTGGGCTCAAGTTTTCATATGACCGGCCCATGGAGTCCATTTTCCTATTATTCCTATTAATTTTTAAAAATATATTTGGGATAAGAGGAGAAATGACTCATTTAAAAAGGGCCCAACCTAATAGATTTTATAATCATACTAACCTGTTTTTTTTTTCACAAATAATAAAATATGGCTTAGAAAAATAAGATTTAACAAATAATAAATGATTCTCTAATATTTTTTTTTTAAATAATAAAGCAGTAAAAATGGTGTCGGTATGATATTTTTTATAATTACATTTTGTCTGTTTTAATTCATATGTATCGTCGTCAGTTTTATAGTTTTTAAAACGCGTCTATTAAGAAGATATTTTCAAACTTAAAATAATATTGAAATTGTATTATATTACATTATTAATTATCTCGTTGAGAATGATTCTGATCTAGTTCATGGCCTATTAGAAGTAGAAGGCGCTCTGTTGGGATTGGGATTTATATGAAATCCAATTTAAGAGGATTATTCAATTTAAATATAATATTTGGTGGAAAATTAGGTTACCAACTAATTCATTAATTTCAACTCATCGAAAGTCAAAATTTCCTTCAAATAATTAGTCAAAAATCAATTATAAATGTAACAATAACTAACCACATAACTTTCATACATATGAACTATTTAAATTCCTAATTAGAAAGGCAATATTGAAGTCAAATATATAGTAGTTTTTTTCATTTTAATTATTTTTCTCTATTCATTTTGAAAATATTTACTTATTATACGTTGATTGGAAAGATAAACGAAAAATTTCTTATAAGAGTGTGTAAATCTCTCATTGTATTACATATGTAACTTGAGTTTCCTAATGGATGCGATTTAAAACTTTTAGAGAAAACTCGAAAGAAAAAAATATAAATCTATTAGTGTTGAGAGGAAGTCGGAAAGCTACTAGCGAGAAGAAGCCTAAAAGAGTTCATGATCTTGGGCAGGGATGGAACGTGCGAGCTTATTTAAAATCGATTATGGAGACTTATAAATTAAATTGATACGAAGCTTTTATTGATATAATTTTTTTATTTTTTTTGGTTGAAATAATTTTATTTTCTAAAAGAAAAAAGAAAAAAGAGAAAGGGAGGTGTTTGGATATAGGGATCCTCAGCCAATCATTTGGATTGGTGTAAAAATCACATCAAATTGAATTGGTCTCTTGGCTGCCATTCACGACAACACGTTTCCCTTCTCTCCTTAAATTTCATCTCAGGCTACCTAAATCATCACCGTCTGATCTATTCTCTTTTTTTTTCTCATTGCCACGTGTTGCAAATCTAATGGCCTGATTTACTCTTATCCATATCCATTATGTTCTCCCCACAAAAACAGTGGCTTTTATAGTAGGAAGAAGAAAAGTGTGATCTTTAATAGTGTCACTACTCGCTGGTCGCTGTTAGCTTTTTTTCTTCTTTTCTCTTACTTTCAAGCTATAATATTAATGCCATTTCACTTCAATTTCTAAACATTATTTTCAATTTATTCAATTTATTGTATTACTCGTCTTTATATAATTCTATCATTCGAACCTAAATCTGTGATTGAGAGATAGCTGTCTATATATTGATAAGGGATGTATGGATTCTCGAGAAGAGAGGAGCCGAGGTGGTCCTCCCGAACCGCCCGGATCCCACGAGTGAATGGAAAGTTGGATCTACATTGGATCTCACCTGAATCAACCCATCTATCCTCCTAAGGAGAAGTTTGGTTTCAAACTCCGGTTAAAACAGGAGAAGTACGCCATGCTAATATGCCTTGGATGATCCACATCTCAGAGTCAGGCGCCGATGAGCACATTTGAACTATCCATGTGGCTGAGAGCCCTCACAACCCAGGCACAACGACGCAATTATCAAAGGCGTGCTCTACCAATGAAGTAATAGCTCATCGTGCGGGCCTCCTGTTGGGGCCCGCTATGCCAAATGCGAGAGAAACCCCATCCCTCCCTTTCCTTTTTTCGTCCCTATGTCCCTCAAGACTAATTTGAACCACTAGTCTAAAAAGTTTTATTGAGTTTGTTTCTTTTCTATTTGGGTTGGGTTAAATTTTTGGAAAGTCTAAGTTTGTAAATTGACATTTTTTGTTGGGCCAACTACAACGGTGTGACTTATAAGTATTTAATAAACTCAAGAACTCTGAATAACAATAAAAACCCATATCAAATCACAAACAATATTAATTTCGAACGCTTATTCAAGTTCTATATCCGAACTTATTCATTTTTCAATAATTACAAAAAATACACGTGATAACTAAGTGATTTTTTGAAATAAAAAATAGAGTATAGGGGCAGAATATTTGATGAGGCCAAAAATGAAGTCTGTTTCACATACTATGAGTAATGGCATCCAGTTTGTATCCCTAAAGAAAAGGAAATAAAAAAAGGGTTAATTATGGAGGCAAAGCCAAAATGATTATTAAAATGGGCACCATCATCTTCATCTTTGATACTCAGATCTTATATCCAATAATTAATTACCCATTTATTTCTACCACTCTGTTTCATGCTCATATTCCCAATCACCATTATGATCATCACCTCTTCCTCTGCTTTGCCTCTCTCACCCACATACCCAAGATTTACACTTTAACTCTCCACAAAACTTTCTTCATTCATGTCTATCATCAAATCAGATGCTTTCATGCTCTACATAAGTAGTGAATCTCTGAATACCTATAAACTGAAGCAATGCACCCCAAAACGAATGGGTTTCCGCGAGATTCCTTGTTGGTCGGAGAGGGAAATGAAATATTTCTTATAAGCGTGTGAAAACCTCTCCCTAGCAGACCGAGTTTTGTAACTGTGAGGTTGACCGTAATATGTAACAGGCCAAAGAAAACAATATCTACTAACGGTGGACTTGAGCTGTTACAAATGGTATCAGAGTCAGACGTCGAATGGTGTGTCAGCGAGAACGCTAGACTCCAAGGGGGTTGATTGTGAGATCTCACATTAGTTGGAGAGGGGAACTAAACATTCCTACCGTGGAAATCTCTCTCTAGCAGACGCGTTATAAAACTGCGAGGCTGATGACGATACATAATGCGTTAAAACAGACAATATCTACTAACTGTAGGCTTGAACGGTTACAAATTGTATCAAAGCCAGACACTGGGCAGTCTGTCAGCAAGGATGCTAGAACCCCAAGGGGGTGGATTATGAGATCCCACGTCAATTGGAGAGGGGTACGAAGCATTCCTTATAAGGGTGTGTAAGCCTCTCCCTAGCAGACGCGCTTTAAAATCGTGAGACTGACGTCGTTATGTAACGAGCAACAATAGACAATATCTACTAGCAGTATACTTGGACGGTTACAATTTCATTCCCAACAGCTAGCATGTTAATCTAATCTCATATATTTCAGTCTCATGGTTCTTTAAGAAACGAAAAGTAAAGAAACAAAACACTAGAAAATGACCCAAATGAATGCATTCATGAGGAAATGGTAAAAAGAATGAAGGAAAAAAAGAAAAAAAAACCAAGGCTAAGGGACCAAGTGAAAGCATCATTACCACTGCCTGCATTCATGTTGTTCCTTAGTGGGCCTTTCATTTCTTTACTCTATCCTTTTTCCATTTTTTTATGTCATTTCCCGACTTTTTTGAAACTTCTTTTAGGGGGAGTTTTTTCACCAATTGTATTGTATCATTGATTCTCCCAATTTTTCAGCATTTGGACCCACTCTCTACCACCATCTTCCCCATTGTTTCCCTTTCTTTTTTCTTATAAAGAAAGGGCTCACTCAGCCTTCTATGATGATATGAAGAAAGTAGGCTTAGAGGCATAGGCTTTTGTGGGCTCAATATGAACATTACATGACTGCAAGGACTTGCCCACAAATACATCAATTTCATTGATATTGATATACATATGCTTCCTAACATTCCCTCTCACGCCTTACTGACAAAAATTGACATCTTGGATCATCCACTCGTTAATTTGTGTCTCTTTTAGAGCAAAAACTGTCTTGTAAAGCAGTGCCGATCATAAGATAGACCCTTTGTCTGTAGGGTAGCTGAGTTCTATTCCTTTTGACCAAAAGTAAATTCAACTCTTCTCTCATATAGGATACGCTTTCATTTGTACTGCAGAAGCCGTATCGGCACATTTTGCAAAAGAAAACACACAAAGATGGCTAAAGCAAGCAGCTTGCTTCTTTTTTCTAAAGCTTCTCATCATGGTCGTCACCACACAACACATTCTTCTAAATCTTCACTGCTACCCTTAGCTTTTTCTTCTTCTTTCTTCTTCCTTTAGGCAACAGTGTTTCTCAGTTTTGCATTTTGTGTGGCATTTTGCTTCATCCAATGGAAAGAATCCTCTCTACTTTGGCAATGATTTTTATCTTATTTGCTTTGGCTTCTTCAGCTGAACAAGAGGCTGTGAGTTCAATAAAAACTGATGCCGCAGCTCTTCTTAAGTTCAAGGACATGATTGACAAGGACCCAAATGGAGTGTTGTCCAGTTGGAAGCTTGAGAACAATCCATGTTCATGGTATGGAGTTTCATGCCAATCCGGAAGAGCAATTGCTCTTGATCTGAGTGGTTGTAATCTTGCAGGGAATGTTCATTTTGATCCTCTGTCTTCTTTGGATATGTTGTTGGCTTTGAATTTGTCTACAAATTCTTTCATTATAAACTCAACTACTTTGCTTCATCTTCCTTATAATTTGCAGCAACTTGAGCTCTCTCTTGCCAAAGTTGTAGGTAGTGTGCCAGAGAATCTTTTCTCTAAGTGTCCAAATCTTATGTTTGTAGACCTTTCATTCAACAATCTTACAAGCTATCTGCCTGAAAATCTTCTGTTTAATGCTAATAAGCTTCAAGATCTTGATCTCTCCTACAACAATCTAACTGGGTCGATCTCAGGATTAAGAATATATGAGAATTCTTGCAGCTCTTTGTTGCGCATTGAGCTTTCGGGGAATCAAATTGTCGGTTCGATACCGAGTGGTATTTCGAACTGCTCGAATCTGCAAACGCTTGGTATGTCAAACAATTTTCTCAGTGGGGATATCCCCAGATCTTTAGGGGAAATCAGCAGTTTACAGAGGGTGGATCTATCTCACAATCAGCTCACTGGTTGGCTTCCTTCTGATTGGAGAAATGCCTGCAATTCACTTCAAGAACTAAGGCTTAGCTACAACAACATTTCTGGTGCAATTCCAGCTTCCTTCTCTGCTTGTTCTTGGCTGCAAATTTTGGATCTTTCAAATAACAATCTATCTGGTCCTTTACCGGATTCCATCTTCAAGAATCTTGTCTCTTTACAAAGCTTGCTATTGAGTAATAACATTATCTCTGGACCATTGCCTTCATCCATATCTCATTGCAAGAATCTGCAGCTTGTAGACTTAAGTTCCAATAGAATTTCTGGATTGATCTCACCAGATATATGTCCAGGTGCTGAGTCACTTCAGGAACTGAAAATTCCAGACAATCTCATCATAGGAGGAATCCCACCTGAGCTCTCACTGTGTCCACAGCTAAAGACAATTGATTTTAGTTTAAACTATCTGAAAGGCTCCATACCAGCAGAGCTTGGAAAGCTTCAGAATCTTGAACAGCTGATAGCATGGTTCAATGGTTTAGAAGGGAACATACCTTCAGAATTGGGGAAATGTAGAAACTTGAAGGATCTTATACTTAATAACAATCATTTAAGTGGTGAAATCCCCACTGAATTGTTCAGTTGCAGCAATCTTGAATGGATTTCACTCACGAGTAATGAATTAACTGGAGAGATCCCAAAAGAATTTGGTCTTTTGCCAAGGCTGGCTGTCCTGCAACTTGGAAACAATAGTTTAAGTGGTCAGATACCAGCGGAGTTGGCAAACTGCAGCACTTTGGTTTGGTTGGATTTGAACAGCAATAAGCTTACAGGGGAAATACCACCTAGACTTGGCAGGCAGCTTGGAGCCAAATCATTGAATGGGATTCTTTCTGGAAACACTCTAGTGTTTGTTCGAAACGTCGGGAATTCGTGTAAAGGAGTCGGGGGCTTGTTAGAGTTTTCTGGAATCAGACCTGAAAGACTACAGCAGGAACCAACATTGAAGACTTGTGATTTCACTAGATTGTACTCTGGTCCAGTCCTCAGTTTGTTTACAAAGTACCAAACTTTGGAGTACTTGGATCTTTCTTACAATGAGCTTCGTGGGAGAATACCAGAAGAGTTCGGAGATATGGTTGCCTTACAGGTTCTAGAATTATCACACAACCAACTTTCTGGAGAGATTCCAGTATCGTTCGGTCGCCTAAAGAACTTGGGAGTGTTTGATGCATCACATAACAGACTGCAGGGTCATATTCCAGATTCATTTTCAAACTTATCATTCTTAGTGCAAATTGATCTATCTTATAATGAACTAACAGGGCGAATTCCATCAAGGGGGCAGCTCAGCACACTACCTGCAAGTCAGTATGCAAACAATCCAGGACTCTGTGGAGTTCCTTTGCCTGAATGCCAGAGTGAAGACCAGCCGGCGACAGGTCCTAATGTAGATGCTGGAAAAGGAAGAACAAAGCCAGAATCAGTGTCATCGGTTAATAGTATTGTTTTAGGTGTTCTTATTTCCCTTGCCTGTGTGTGCATTTTGATTGTATGGGCTATTGCCATGCGTGCAAGACGAAAAGAAGAAGAGGAAGTGAAGATGCTTAATAGTTTACAAGCAATACATGCCCCTACTACTTGGAAAATTGACAAAGAGAAAGAGCCACTGAGTATCAATGTGGCAACTTTCCAAAGACAGCTAAGAAAGCTCAAGTTCTCCCAACTGATAGAAGCAACTAATGGCTTCTCAGCCGAAAGTCTCATTGGTAGTGGCGGGTTCGGTGAAGTGTTTAAAGCAACACTAAAGGATGGATCGAGTGTTGCAATCAAGAAACTGATACGTCTTAGTTGCCAGGGAGACCGTGAATTCATGGCGGAGATGGAAACCTTAGGAAAGATCAAACATGGAAATCTAGTACCTCTTCTGGGATACTGTAAAATAGGTGAGGAGAGGCTGCTAGTGTATGAGTTCATGAAGTTCGGTAGCCTAGAAGAGATGCTTCATGGAAGAGCAAAGATGCAAGATAGCAGAATTCTAACATGGGATGAAAGGAAAAAGATAGCCAGAGGTGCTGCAAAAGGACTCTGTTTCCTACACCATAACTGCATTCCACACATAATTCACAGAGACATGAAGTCCAGCAATGTACTTCTGGACCATGATTTAGAAGCAAGAGTTTCAGATTTTGGAATGGCAAGGCTGATAAGTGCTCTTGACACCCATCTGAGTGTAAGCACACTTGCAGGCACTCCTGGTTATGTCCCTCCTGAGTACTACCAAAGCTTCAGGTGCACAGCAAAAGGCGACGTCTATTCGTTCGGTGTCGTCCTCTTAGAACTCTTGACAGGGAAACGACCAACTGATAAGGAGGATTTTGGGGACACCAATTTGGTGGGTTGGGTCAAAATGAAAGTCAATGATGGAAAACAAATGGAAGTGATAGATCCAGAGTTGCTTTCAGTGACCAAAACAAGTGACGAATCAGAAGCAGAAGAAGTTAAAGAAATGGTAAGATATTTGGAGATAACCCTTCGGTGTGTTGAAGAGTTTCCTTCCAAAAGGCCTAACATGTTGCAGGTGGTAGCCATGCTACGAGAGTTGATGCCTGGATCAGGAAGCAGCAACAGTGCTTGAATCAGATTTTCTTTTTGTTTACTAAATCTGATCCAGCTTTACCAACATGAGCTTTGTAACATTTGTTTGAGTTGCCTGTATTCTATTGTTCTTTTGCTACAACCACCGTCTCCATTATTCATAGAAGTAATAAGATAAAAGCTTTCAGACATGGAAAAAAATGAGGGATATTAAGCTAAGCATTTCATCAAACAGATGGTGCGCACAAACATTTTCGCAGCATTAGTAACAAGTTTGAACCCATAAATCTTCTTCTTATAAAACCAGACCAAAAAATCAGCATATTAAGAGTAATCTTCAAAGCAAAACAGTAACCATGGCATCACAAGCTGAAGCAAATAACGTTTGGACCTATTTAGAACAGAAGCAAACAACTATCTATATGAATTTAGTACAAAATTCAAAGGCATGTGAATGGTGGGCTCCTAGGGATATAAGGGCCCTCTTAATAGATGGAGACTGGGCTCTCAAAATCACCACTGCTTGGACTTCATGCAAAGTCCAAGAAATTAAGCTTAAACTATAGAGACTAATGGAGTAAGATAGAGCATTTTAGGGTAATCTACTCACTTGTTAACTGAATCATCTCTACTAGTCGTTTCTAACCCTCTTCTCATTATTTAAATCGAAGAAAAAACCAGATTTGTTGAACTCTATCGAATAGGATATCCTGCAATTTATAATATTTTATTTTCTAAAAAAAGAATGAAATTTAATGTATACCTTTTTCCCAAATATATGTTCATACTCTTTTATATCCACGACCACGTGTAACTATAAAAAGTACCTCATTTATTAAATATATAGGAAATTAACTAATTAATTAATTAATTAATTTTTTTTTTTTTTTTTTACATTCTTTTAGTATGTTTGAAGAAAAGTATTTTTAACTTTTAACCCACCAAAAGATACCACTTTTCTTAGTAAATTATAGGAAAATATTCCTTTAAAGTATTTCTTATAAAAGCATCGTGGAATTAACATTCAAAACAACAATTATCCTAACACTCGTTCTATAACATTAATTGTGATGCTATTATCCGTTCATGGATATCTTACCTTTACCTGAAAAAATAACGAGTGCGACCTATCATTTTAAAAAACATCCGTTCAGGGTTGAATAAGTAATTAGAAAAAATAAAATATTATTGTAATAAGTTAAAAAAGTACTATATTTTCTATTAATAATTACACTATTTAAGGCAAAAATTGGGTCTTTTTGCTTTAAATGATTCCAAGTTACTTTAGGCATCATTGATTTTGCCTCAAAAGGAGGATAAAAAATTGATGAGCTTCAAGAATTTTATACCTTCCTCAAAATAATTGATTTCTAAAACACTATTATTACAAACATCAAATCTAAATAACTTTTTTTTTTCTTCTTATTAAAATGTTAAATTTCAAAGAAGTCATTAATTTGCAAAAAAAAATTAAAAATAAAAAACCAACATTAACCAAAATAATAACGATTTCTCTTTGTTTAAACAACCCTCTATCATATTGAAAATTACATATTTGGTCATCCATATTGATTGTACTAATTAAAAATTAAATTCAAATTTTCGAATTTTTGGGTCCAAAATTTAACTTTTAAAATTTTAAAAAACTAAACAAAAATAAAATTTAAATATGAAAAGTGTACATAATCAATCTTGTATTTCATGCACTGAAAGGGCAAAAACGTCCATATAAATTAGGATCCTGTTGGGCTAGTTGGAAATTTAAACCCTACCTACTGCCCAACAATTAATGCCTTCATGATTAAAGGTAGAAGGCATATATTTATATATATATATATATATATATATATATATATATATATTTGACTAAATAATTAATCATTATCTAAATTTTGTTTTCTTTTTAAAAAGTCATTTTCACCTTTTTAATGAATTTATGAACCAAAATCATTAATCTAATAGGCCAAAATAGTTTGATTTCAAAATTTTCATGCATATTTAACTTTAACTACCCTATATTATCCTTTAATATATAGCTAATTAGTTCTTAATTAGCTCATATTATTTTGTGCAAAACCACCTGCAAATTTAGTGACCCAACGTTCTCTGTAGGGTCATTTTACTTACTTCTTACTTCTAAAAGTGAACACTATCTCCACAAATCAACATGAATTATTTCAACATGTTTTATCCTAAATTGCTCCGAATAAACCATGCTTAACTCAGAAGGTTCTATGATCGAGCTATCAGAAAGGAAAGTGCATATTGTTGATATAAGTAGCAACTTCCATTTCTTAGTCATTCTATCTTTAGGGTCACTCTCATTCAAATGTGGTATGGTTTCATTCCTGTACTCTTTATTTACTTAGGTATCATACTTCCCTACTAATGTATGAGTCAACCAAGTAATCAATAAGTTAACAACAACCGACAAAGATGATGATTACAACATTTAAAACTTCAAAGGTATGATTGTGACTTACGTTATAATTCATCGACAACCAATGCAATTTCTTACCATATTGTATTATATATATATATATATATAAAAAGAGGTAAGAAGAAGCATGAAGTCAGTGGTGGAGAGGGTCCAAAAAGAAGAAAGAAGAAGAGAAGAAAATTCTACAAGGCTTATATAAAAGGGAAGTTTAAATTGTGAGGTGAAAATGAAAAAGGTAAAGAAAAAAAAGTAAAAAGGTAAAAAACATATGGTCCCAACAAAGTAAATTCAAAAGAATGAGTGAAAAAACAAACCTTTTTCTTCTTCTTCTTCTTCTTCTTCTTCTTCTTCTTCTTCTTCTTCCTCCTTTTACTTCTGCACACACTTGAAATCATGAACAACAACATCAAAAACATTAACTAACTTCCATCAAGTGTTTAAGGAACACATAATCTTGTTCAACACGAATGTTACTAAAATAAGGAAAAAAAAACAGGGTTTTTGTGTGTTTTTGTGTGTGTGTGTGTGTGTGTGTGTGATAGATTGATTTGGATATGGATTTTGGAAGAGTGAGAGGGACGAGTGACTGAGCGTGAAGAAAAGCAAGTGTGGCACTGAAAAACATGGTGGGTTTTTAATAAGCATTTAAGTTTTACAAAGGAACACAAATGCAATGAAAATGACCCAACAACTTTCACTTTCCTTCTTTTATCTTGGTATGAATTTGGGTCTTTTTAAACCATTTTTTAACCTTTTCCTTTCTTTCCTTTTAATTTGCATTAGGATGGTCCCCAAAAAACAAGAAATAATACTGTGTTTCTCCTTCAACCCTCCATGTTTGTATGCCTATTTCCACATATTTCAGACCCCTCCATTTATGATACGGGTCCATGTGCCCTTCACCAAAAACCCATCTCAAAATTACACTCTTTTCCGGGTTTCCGTTTATCATCGTGTTTAGATTCAGCTTTCTTCTCTTTTGAGCTTTCTCTCACGGTTTTAAAATGCATCTACTAGAAAGAGTTTTACACCTTTTCATTCCCTTCTCCAATCAATGTGAGATCTCCCAACGTCCACACTAGCACTCTCGGTTGATAATGCATTATAATAAAAAAGAAAGCAGTGAAAAAATGTTTGTTCTTCCAACACAATAATGAGTGATTCTTTTTATTATTGTACTTTTGAAGAAGGCAAATAATGGGATTTTTTTCTTTGCTACTAAAAACCAACATAAATTATTAAAACCTAACACCCCAAGTTTTTCGTCCCTCGAGATACTGCAATAATCATAACATACAATAATTCAATGAAAATCATGAGTAAAAGAAAAAAAACCCCACATATAGATATAAACAACAAAACCAAACCCAACCCAAATTTTAATTCAATTCTTCATCTTGGCTCAGATTTTATGATATGATCTTCTTCAATATTCCCACAAATTATTTGAACAACAACTTAGAACAATGAAGAACTGTAATTTGAATAATGTCTTTTTTTTTTCACTCTCCATCACCTTCTGTTGTAGCGGATGACATGTAGCTAATGGCCAATGAGGTCTCCTCAGGCGTAACGGAGCTCATATGGAAGTGTAGCCGACAAGTTTGGCAAGTGATTTCCATAATGGTGGAGCTCATTTTCCTTGTGGCTTCTTCCTTCAAGATCCTAGCCTTTTCCAACTCTGCTTGAGCTTGTTGTCGTATCATTTTTGCATTTGCGAACTCGACCTCGGCGATCTCGATCTGTCGTTTCGCCTCTCGTCGTGCTTCTTCTGCGTAAGCTTTCTCGGCGATCGCCAAATCGAGCTGACGTTCATCCTTTGCTTCCTTGTTTGACCCAATTGAGAGTTTTAGAAACGCCGAGCTTGGAGATGAAAGATGAAGCTCGAGATCATGGTGATTCGGAAAATTAATGTTGATGTTTCGATCTAAGTTCGATGATAAAATTGGAAACCCTCGTAATGGTGTAGCCGTTTGAAAGCTATGATCGTTGCTGGTCGAGGCACCGGTGTAAGAAATCGATCGTGAGTAGGGTTGTAATAATGGCGGTGGTAGCAACAGCGGCGGTGCATCAGACCTCAGCTGCCGGAGATTACAAGCATCTTGGTGTTCTATGAAGCTCTCCACTCTGAAAAATACTATGTAATATTAGTTATCAATACAATTCAACCTAAACATTACCTTATTTCTTCCATATCAAGTTATCCAAAGCCTCAAAAAACGAAAGTCGAAGCTAAAAGAATGTAGTCGATAATTTTATATCGAATAGTTAAAAATTGGAAAGCGGGTATTGAATTTAAGATTAAAATAGACAATATCATATGCGAAATTCGAGAAATTCGTAATACTAAATTAGGTCGAACTCGTTATTCTGCTTTTTCTCGAATACTCAGGTTCAAATATCTATAGACACGAACCATAAAATTGAAAAGTTAGAGAGAGAGAGAGAGGACCTAGAAAAGACACGGCCACAATCACAAGAGTGGCCACGAGTGCCACAAGTTTTGAGATGAGCTTTGAAATCAGAATGAACAGCATAAGCCTTAGAGCATTTGTCACAAACCCAATGCTTCTGATTGCTATGCTTTCTCCGGAAGTGTTTTTTGATACCGACGAGGTCACCAAGGGCATGGCGAGGGTCATGGTGGAGACAAGTGGGTTCAGGACAAACGAACACCTTTTTCTTGACTGCCTCCGCCGTCTCCGCTCTCTTGAGCAGCTTCCACGGCACCTTGTGGCGGCGGCGGTGCATTTGAAGATTCTGATCCCTTTGGAACCCTTGGTTGCATATTTCACAAACATACCGATCCGATTCCAAAAGGGTTTTTGGCGATAACGAAACCACTTCAGCATCTGGATCTAATGCAGCAACACAAAAGTGAATTCAAGTTTGAATTTTTACGAGATGGGTATGGATAAAATTTGAAAAAGATTCAAACTTTGGATTGAAAATGAGTTAAATTTGGTTAAAATTTACCTGGGGTTCCTGCTGGTCTTCTCTTTCTTTTACTGGTGACCCCATGGTCAGAATTGGGTGGAGGAGGTGGAGAACCACCAGAAGAAGAAGCTGTAGCAGCTGCAGAAGAAGAAGAAAGTTTCAACATGGAGTGGTTTTGATGATGATGATGAAGAAGAAGAAGAAGAAGAAGAATCTGGCAATATCTATCTAGAGAGAGAAAGGAGGAGAGAGAGAGAAAAAAAGGAGAGAATTGGGAGTTTTGTAGGGCAAAATGAAGAATTGGAAGGGTGTTGTTATAAAAGGTTTTGATTTTGAGTAAAGGGAGAGAGAGGAAAAAGATGATAAAAGGAGATATAATTGGGAGGATGGGGCTGCTGCCTCCTCACCACCGAGATGACATTAGCTTCAAATGTTTCGGGCCCCCCCCCCCCTCCCCCTTTCATTTCTTTCTCTCATTTACCAACAAAAAAACATATATCCTCTTTTTTTTCCTACCCTTTGTAAAAAATAAAAACAACAATCAACCTCTCTCTCTCTCTCTCTCATGCACGTGACTTTCTCTCTCTTACCACTTCCCTTTGAAAATTCATCATCGTCTAAGTTTTAAGTACGAGTCTGCTAGGACAAGTTTCTACTCTAAACTGTGAAATATGTCAAGAATAGAGAGGTACGATTGCAACTAACTGCCACACTAAATTTGTTCCAACCTAGAAAATAAGTAAGAAACTATTTACTATTGTTGTGTTTGACATACCAACTTCAATGTTTAAGTTACGTACCCAAATTTGAGTATGATATAGTTTTCAGATATTTATAAAATAATCATAAATCGACTTAAAAAGTGAACGAAATTGAATTGAATATAGACAATATAAGGAAGGACCACTATGGTTATGCCCCATTACAGGGTCGAGGTTGAAGAGGTAGATTGTGCTTCAACCCGATCTCGTATCTTCAACTTTGTACGTATACGTACATAGATACATATGTACAAAAAGTAAAAAGTTATGATAAAGTTTAATATTAAAATGCTTGAGTAAACATTAGGTTTAGAATATTCTTAATATAGTCTTTTTTTTTTATTTTTTATTACTTTAATACTAAACTTTGCTTTCTTCTTTTATCATTATCTTTTTTAAAGTTTCTTTTTTATGGGTACTTTTAACTTTTATAAATATTTTTTTATTGACATTTTGTATTATTGGTATTCAATATCGTCCAAGCCAATTGTTAACAGATGTTGTTCACTTTGGCTCGTTATTTATCGCAGTTAGTGTCACGATTTTAAAACTCGTCTATTAGGGAAAAGTTTTCTCACCCTTATAATGAATCTTTCATTTCCCTCTCAAACCGATGTGAGATCTTATAATCCACCTCTTTTGAGGGCTAGCGTCATCACAAGCACACCGTTTGATGTTTGACTTTGATACTATTTGTAATAGTCCAACCTCACCACTAGTCGTTATTGTCCACTTTGGCTTTACGTATCATCGTCAGACTCACGTTTTTAAAATGTGTATATTAGGAAAAGGTTTATGCACTCTTATAATGAATGGACTCTACATTTATATATCAAAATTAATTGCACATGTGATTCATAATAATTGACATTCTTGTAATTTTAAATATCTAAATTTGGTTCTTATACTTTTAAGAATCTTAAAATGAGTCCTAATTTTTTTTTAATTAAAATTAGTTAAATAATAATAAGTTAACCACACGGTGTGAGAACTAACTCTTGCCTAATTATACATTTAACTAGCATGTTTTGTCTTCACTCATATTTATCGTAGGAAAACTTTTATAAAATCACTTAATATAACATTGTTCAAAGCAAAACATTTTGAATGTTGGAGTTTTTTTGATTGAGCTCCCGAATAAAAAAGTTTTCTTTGGGTTTTCGGTTTCAAATTTCTCTTCAAAATTTTTAAACGCGTCCACTAGAGAGAAGTTTCCACACTCTCCAACGAATGTGACTTTTTCCTTTAAAGAATGCTTTGTTCCAATTTTAAACCGACGTGGGGTCTCACAAACCACCTCTTTGAGGGCCCAGCGTCCTAACTAGCACACCACCTCGTGTTTGGCTCTAATACCATTTGTAATAGCTTAAACCCATTGCTAGCAAATATTGTCTGTTTGAGACCCACATTAATTGGGAAGGAGAACGAAACATTTCTTATAAGAGTGTGGAAACTTTTCCCTAGTATACATGTTTTAAAATAAGGAGGCTGACGAAGATACTAATGGGCCAAAACGGACAATATTCGATCGTGGTGAACTTGGACTGTTAATGTCGTATCCTCAAAATCGCCCTAATTTAAACGTAGTCTTGGTTCATTCACGTACTCCCAATGATTGAGGTGTTATCTATATTTTACCAAATGAACATAATTGGATAATTAATGAACTAAGTTTCATATGTTTATAGTAATCAAAAGTGGGTTAACAATTAAATATGTAATGAGCACACATTAACAATCAAGTACTATAAGATATGTTATTTTTTTTTGGTTCCCATAAACATAAAAAAAAAAAAAAAAAAAAAAAAAAAAAGTTTTTAAAAAGTAAATATTAGTATATAAAACATTTTTTTTTCAAACAAAAATAGATTTGTAACTTAAATTGAATATATATTTTAAATTAACAATAAATAATTATTTGTAAGGAAACTCATAATCCATTTAGTTCAACTGCACCCAACCCAAATGAGTTGATAACTTGGATTAAATTGAGTCGATCTAGTTTTTCGGTTCACCGTTTTTTCTTTAACGCCTTTACACTTTACCTATCTTGAAAGAATTACACGTTACTTTGGTATGATTTTGTAAAAAGAATAATTTTCTTTATAATTTAATTTTAAATCACTCACAAAAGATCTATTCACTTACAAAATTTNTGGTTCCCAAAAAAAAAAAAAAAAAAAAAAAAAAAAAAAAATGAAGTTTTTAAAAAGTAAATATTAGTATATAAAACATTTTTTTTTCAAACAAAAATAGATTTGTAACTTAAATTGAATATATATTTTAAATTAACAATAAATAATTATTTGTAAGGAAACTCATAATCCATTTAGTTCAACTGCACCCAACCCAAATGAGTTGATAACTTGGATTAAATTGAGTCGATCTAGTTTTTCGGTTCACCGTTTTTTCTTTAACGCCTTTACACTTTACCTATCTTGAAAGAATTACACGTTACTTTGGTATGATTTTGTAAAAAGAATAATTTTCTTTATAATTTAATTTTAAATCACTCACAAAAGATCTATTCACTTACAAAATTTCATTCTTACATTTATACCATTATGAATTTAGGGTTTTAATTTGTAACAACTCAAGCCTACCACTAGCAGATATTGTCTGTTTTGGCTCATTACGTATTGTCATCAACCTCATAATTTTAAAACCCGTTTACTGGGGAGAAGTTCCAACACTCATATAAGGAATATTTTGTTCTTATCTCTAACTGATGTGAGATATCACAATTCACTCCATTGGGAGTACAACACCTCGATACTACACCACCTAGTGTTTGGCTCTAAAAATTAGGGACATTACATAATCGATATGAACTCCAAAGTTCCCCGAGTGAGATGGTAATATTGATCGAAAATAGATAAGAATTTGAAAAAATAGTTTAGACAAAGTTGAGAATCCAACAAACTCAACTTTTGTTTGTTGGTTTGTTGTTGAAGCAGTAAAAAGAGATTTGAACTTTAGGTGCCTTTCTTTTTAGCTGTCATAGAGAGACAAACCAAAACACACTTTCACCAAAGGGAGAAATTGTGTGATAATAAATATAATGAGTTTGACTTCAATATATATATATATATATAAAAGTTTGAAACTTTAATTTGTTGAGCTGGAAAGAACATAATCATGGCTCCCAAATGTCTTGGATTCCAAATCTAATTTTAAACAACTTTAATTATAACTAAAACACAATTACACTTTTTCATTTTTTGTCTTAATCAAAACTTCGTTAATTAATCCCCAAATTATATTCTTTAATTGCACCTACCTACCTACTTTTACAAATTCCCCTTTCCCCTTCTCTCTAAAAGCTCAAAAAGTGGAAAAAAAATAAAAAGAAGAAGAAGAGAGTTATTTCCTCTAACGAAGTGAACATAGTTCATTGTTCATGTGTATGGATTTTTCAGGTGTTCATATGATCCAAGAACCCAATGAAACTAAGTTGGATTTTTGTTCGGTTTGAGTTGGGTTAAGTTACCCAAGTTTACCCTACTTTTAAGATTATTATGAAATTTATGAATCTTTTAACTTTTACAACTCTGTGTTAATGATGACTTTGATTTGTAACGGTTTGATATTTGAGATTTTAGTTATTCGGGTAATATGTATGGTAAATAAGTAGAAAATGTTAGATCTCAAAGGGGTGGATTGTGAGATCTCACATCGATTAGAAAAGGAACAAAACATTTCGTATAAGAGTATGAAACCTCTGCCTATTATATAGGTAACAGGAAGGGTAAAATGAGGGAAGGGTAAATATGAAAGAGAAAAGCATTGTGATATCACATGTTGAGAGGTAAAAAAAGCAATAAGTGGGAGCAGTAAATTATGGTAAATCATAGATATGTACGTATTTATAATATGCAGAGGTTGATACAGACAGACATGGCCTGAAAATGAATTAGGTATATTTGTCTTTCTCATTTCCTTTCCTTTCTACTCTCTTTCACTTCCACCTCACCTCAGTCTGCTGTGCTGTGCCTTTGTGTTCTTTCTTTCCCACTGATTTTGACCCTTTCTTTTTCATTTCCCTCTTACTTTTCAACACACAACATTAAACTTCTATTAACACATAAAAAAGACAATACATAAAACAAAACACAACATGTTTCCATATTTGTTCCAGCCCAAAAATCCATCTCTCAAACCAATAAAATCGACCCGAGAAATCGTTATGTTACGTTAGTTTGTTTTTGTTGTGTGTTTGTATATACATGTCGAAGATTCGTATAACAGCTCAATCTACATCACTAGCCGATATTATTTTCTTTGAGCTTTTTCTAAGAGACTTCCCTTCAAGAATTTTAAAAGACATTTACTAAAGGGAGGTTCTCACCCTAATAAGGATTGCTTTGTTCCCCTCTTCAACTGACGTGGAATCTCACAATCTCATAATCCACCTTGCTAGCAATCATTCATCTCTACAATCGACGTGAGATCTCAAAATCTACCTCGCTGACACACTGCTCGGTATCCACCTTTCTTCAAAGCTCAACGTCTTCACTAGCACATCATCCTGTGTCTGACTCTTATATCATTTGTAACAGCTCAAGCCCTAAAAACGGTTCAACTAATGTGGGATCTCACTGTTGGATGATAAAAGTCCCACCTCGGCTAATTCAAGG